GAATTTACTCAACTCAGTTAAGTGGAACCAGGTAACATAACATGGTTAAGTAAATCCAACATTTCATTTTTTACAGTGTACTGATAGCGCTCAAAATGATGACCAGAAAGCAAGTACAAATACATGAAGCAATGAGTAGCTAGTCTGTTTAGTAAAACTACTGCTCTGTACAGACAGACACAGATGACAACTAAATCAAATAATTATAGCAAATATATAAAAACTGCAGCGTTGTAATTCAAAATTAGAAAATAACGAGCTTGAAAAAGTTGAACAGTTTTAATGATTTTACATTTTATTGTAATTAGAACCAATTAGAGTGGGAACATGAGCTGAAGCTGAGAATTATTTAAATATCATTACTCTGCTTTTTATTTATTTATTGTCCTCTTGATGTCTATTTCAGCGCATTTCATTTGCAGTTGTGTTTTTGAGCCATCATTTGGTTGTGTCTGGGGTATTTAAAGAAGATTTCTACATTTTAATTAGCCTTGTCTGTTTCCAGGGTGACTGTATTTGTGTTGTGTATTTGTATGTTAAAAGAGTATACTCAAAGATCCATTTAATTGTACATAAAATGAAAATTTGTCTTTGGTATCAAGTTTAAAATCATGAAAATCATTTAAATATCCATAAAATTCATATAAACAAATACACAACAAATTTATCACCAGGCATACATCTATAAATAAAAAAACATTTAGGCTGAAGAAAAATATTTATTTCTTTGTTCCAAATGGTAATAGCAGAAGTTTTTCTTAGAATAGGTTTGAATTCTTTACCCTCTTGAACAAAGAAATATTGTTCCAAACTTTCCTATCAGATCACTTCGCTCTCAGGCTGCAGGTTTACTTGTGGTTCCTCGAGTTTCTAAAAGTAGAATGGGAGGCAGAGCTTTCAGATATCAAGCCCCTCTCTTGTGGAACGAACTTTCAGTTTCTGACATAAATAATCAGAATAAACAGACAATCAGAATAAAAATGTGTCAAATATATGCAAAAATTCTGATTTGATTCAGCTGGATCCAAATAAATTTGTAATCCGAATGAGAGGGATGGTTTATGCCAATTCATAATCCGAACAGTGTGCATAATATAAACGCTTAATTTGATCATGTTAGTCTGGTTGTGGAAAACTGACCTGCCTGTGCATTACTTATATTTTCATCCACTGGTTTCCGATCTTTTCTGGAGGGAGGGCCAGCAGCGCTGTAGTTGCAGACAGTACAAAACTTTCAAGGATGCTTATTTTCCTCTGCTTTCTCAGCAAAGAGAGAAGGGAGACATACAGGACATTGCTATGCATAACAATAAATAAATAAATAAATAAATAAATAAATAAATAAAATAACCATGTTGATTCACCTTTAGGGTCAATTGCAGTAACGTCTTCACCATTATTCAAACCTAGTGTGGGTTCATTCTGGGCTGAAGACACATTTGAACATTTGTTTACGTTCATCACAAAACTTCTGTTTTTTTGTTGTTTTTTTAGGAAAAATTTACAACTGTGCACATATCAGTACTATTCTGAAAAACCGCTGGTGTGTGTAAATGCTTATCATGATCGGATTAATTGTCCCTTGTCGCAGAAGCGGGGGACTTAAAAACGCTCTCTGTCGGTCTGTCCATTACATTTTCAGAAAGATGTAACTTCCACATAAAAAGACTCAAATACACCAAACGTGGTAGGAGTTATCCATGTTGCATGCCCGACCAAATCATGTGGTCATATGACATCATCAAAGCCCTGCTCCCTGACAACAGGAAGTGACTTTTTTGCTTGGAAAGCCCCATCTCTGACCCTCTTAACCTAATCAGCAACAAATTGTGTCAGAACACAGATAAGAAGTTGATTTTTATTTGTGTTTTACTGTTATTTATCTAGGCAAAGCCCATTGAGATTACAGATCTCTTTTGCAATGGCAGCCTGGGCCTGGAGACAACGTATTGTACATATTTTTTGGGGAAACTGGAGTACCTGGAGGAAACCCACGTAACTTAATACAAGGAGAACATGCAAACTCCACACAGTAAGAGCTCTGATTCGAACCAGGGATCAAACACAGGACCTGCTTGCTGTGAGGAAACAGGGTTAACCACTGAGTCATCATGCTGAGCTCACTTGCTTTCAAGCACAAAGACTTTTTGGTGAAAGGCGTGGTCATAGCAGTGCGGTGAAATCAGACATCACACTGTTGACATAGTTTAACTCTAGATTCTACATATTTCAGCCAATCTGCACCAAATTCACTATTGTCAATCCCAATCCACCCTTCATCTCTTTTTTTGCACTTGTATCTGAACTAACTCCCCAGATTTGAACATGTGGACTTCACATGCTGCATGCTTCTCTCAACACTGACTGGTGGTGGGATGGTGTGGGGTGACAGAGTGGCGAATGCTGATGCCACGCCGTTTGCACACAGTTAGCTCTAAATCACACATACATGATCCACCCTGCAGCAAATATTGTGTGCATCATAAGGCAGACCTTCTCAACAGGTTTGTATAGTAGTTGAACAAGATCACTTTCCCCCCCATCTGTCTGTTCACCTTATGAGATGATTTAAATAATGAAGGTCTGTGATGATTCCTACAAAGCTAACAGGTACTACTGAATGGTGACGGGGGACATCAGAGGCAGTTGGCATTGAGTTCTATCTTGTTAATTTTGTGCCCAAACATGCAATCCAATTAAAAAAATTCTGTACACATAAACATAACTATTCAGTCTATAAATTTAATACTAGACTTAAGACTTTCCTTTTTGATAAATCCAATATTTTGGATTCCTGAGTTAATTCTTGGTTCTGCTGCTATAGGTTTAGACTGCTGGAGGACAAACTGACCACATTTCCTCACTCTGCTGCTGTCTTTAATCACTCTCCYCTACATGTTTGTTGTAATTTCTTCCATCAGCATGTGTTTTCCTTGTCTCTTTTCCAGAGGAAAATACACCTGGACCAGTCACTCTCCAGTTTGTCTGTGTCTTCTTCCTGTCCCCTCAAACCCAGCCCGTTGAAGCAGATGACCACATGTCCTGAGCCTGGTTATGCTGGAGGTTTCTTCCTGGAGTTTATCGTTTCCACTTTCGCCAGTGTTGCTGCTCATGATGGGAGACTGTGACGAAGTGATTCAATGCAATCTGCTGGCTTCCTTAGATTGATTGTTTTTGTACAGTGCCCTGAGACGTTTGTTGTGACTTGGTGCTATATAGACAAACTGAATTAAATTCAAATAATATTTGTTGTCTAACTTTGGACAGTTGGTACWTTTACTTCTTTGTGAATCAAACAGAYAAAAACTAATCCATAATGAAAAGAACCCAAAATTTATTAAATGATATAATGGTGATGGTGATGTTAATAATAATAATAATAATAATAATAATAATAATAATAATAATAATAATAATAAACAATGCGAGCAAATTTACATTGGCTGCTATTTATTTCCCAGCTTAAATATTTGCCTTTTTTCTTGAGCTATCACACCTGCCTTCTGTAACTTGTGCCACCACGGAAGGAGAGAAAAACTAGCTGCTGACAGCAAAAGTTTATCACCCCACAAACAGACAGATAGCACCTTTCTGTAATTGCGACCGGGGGAATTGGTTTGCTGGTATGAGGTCAGACTGCAGGACAGCCTTCAGTCAGTCACAGAAACACACAGAAAGTCTGAAACCATCAGTAGGTGGAAACATTCAGACTGACCTGAGCCAATGTTTACATTCACATTTAATGACTGAGATGCTTCACAGCTTTGTTGCAATCATTATTAATTTAGTCTCCCTGTAACAAAAACAAAACAACTTCTAGATGAGAACACAGGAATTTCATCAATTGTTCGAATAATAATGCTTAGCCAGGAGGCAATAACGCTGTGATTAAAAAAATGTCTGAAAGCAGATAATAACTAAACGACTGAGAACTGAATCTCTTAAATTTGAGACTAAAACAACAGAAACTCAAAACCTTATCAAGTGGGCAAAGTGCTCTGAAAATACAATCAAGAAAATCCAGAATAGGAAAAGAATTAAAACAGCATAAAAGCAGTTGTGATTGTCGGTCCCAGTGCATGTATTTGACAGTAAGCAATAGTAGACGTGAACAAAGGTTTTAACTGTTTCTCTTAAAAAATCGATCTAGTTTTGAAAATGACCTCCTTGGAAAGTCGTTGTGTCAATATCTGTGTGTATTTTTTCTTTTCCTCGTGTTTTCTCTATGATTCATCTGTGTTCTTTCCCACTTTCTCCCATGTGCACCCCATGTTTTCTCCCAAATGTTTCTAACATCCCCTTGTTAACTCACCTTAACTTTCTGTGTCCTGTCTTCACTTTCCCATCTGTGCATTGTGCTATCTTCCCAGCCATTTCATGTACCTCCTCGAGATCTTGCTTGTTGCTATTTTTTGTAAGTAGCTGCTGCCCCGTCAAGCGCTTTTTGTAAATAGTTTGTTTTTCTGATCTCTGAGGCACTGCCTTTTCCCTGGGTTTAATCATACACAAACCTGATACTGAACTATATTTTTCTGACTAAAACTATAGTTGGCATGTGAATGAAAAGTAGGCTACAATAACTTTTTAATTCAATTCAATTCAGTTTATTT